TCTCTCTCTCTCTTTATCTCTCTCTCTTTATCTCTCTATCTCTCTCTTTATCTCTCTCTCTCTCTCTTTATCTCTCTCTCTTTATCTCTCTCTCTATCTCCATCTCCCCCTCTCTCTGTGTCCTCTCTCTCTCTCTCTCTCTCTCTCTCTCTCTCTCTCTCTCTCACTCCCCCAATCCCTGACTGTTATTAACTCACAGGTTCCCCATCCCTTAACAACACAATGATCAAACATTCTTCTCTGTTTCTGTTTTTGTCTAATTTTTACCAATTTTATTTCTTTGTGTTTTTTTTTTTACTCTTTTTTTCCCCTTTTTTATTTTTTCATTTTTTTGTGTGTGTGTTTTTTTTCTACTGTCGTCCTTTTCTTTTCGTTTTGTTCCCCCCTCCTTTAGATCGTATTGTCTCACTTGCCTATAGCTAAAAGGTAAGCCTGGTCACATGATTGACACGCCCCGTTCTGATTGGCTCTTCCTACTGACATTTCAGCCTAACCTGTACTCTTTTCCAATTCCTCCACCATTTTGTGTTTATCTCTGTTTCTTCCTCTGTGTTTTCTACAGTCTAAGCAGGTCTGCATGTGTTAATAGCAGCCTTCTGTTACTCTTTACGAGGAAGTGTCATTTTCAGCTCATCACTGAGTGTGGTTTGGTATACATTGTTATGATTTGCAAGTCAACAGAATTTTTAATGAAAAGACGAGATGGATTGTTTTTATTTTTAAGGCACAGAAATTCCCCTCTTCTTGAGTGTAGAAGTTTTCAACTTATATGTAAGTCTCACCTTCCTCCTACTGGTTTCAAAGTGTCTGTGCTGCCCAAAATTTGTGGCAGAGTGTACACACTAAATGCTGCTCAAAACAAATGTGTGTTTGGAAGGTAGGCCGTATGAGGACGCTGTTTGTCATCCACGCTTTTATAATTTATCATTAAAAGAGCTGAGATAGAAGTACTCGCTGTCGGACTTGGTCCGTGCTTTTATTTTGTACATGCTTTCCATTGAAGTTCTCCAGAAATCCTGTGCTATGTTTGCCCACTGTGCTCGACACACCTGAAGAATAATCGCTGACTTGGTGCTACAGCGCAATCTGTCACTAACTGCTATATCCTGTAAAAAATGTAAAACCACAGCCAACCTTACAGAAACATCCATGGGTCCCGTGTGTCTTTCTGTGTTTCATATGAGAGGCAATGCAACCGTCGGCATAGCAGACCGACGTGTACCTCTTGTAGTATGAGTAGAACCACATGCACGTCTCATGTTTGCTTTTAAAGTCTGTGCACAGGGATGCCAAAACCATGAATTGGCCTCGAAGCCTAAAGTAGTTTCTTGCAGATCAGCAGCATTACAATATTGTATTATTTTGAAATTTTGCCCAGTGATGCCAAAAATGACTGCCTACCTCAGCTTCAATTCTGTTTTGGTCTCCTCCAACACCTGAAGGAAATATTTGGGTCTGTACCTGCTAGATGAATGAGCGAGTTACTGACTGTTTGCTGGGCCCTTAAAGCAATGACGTTTGCTATAAAACCAAACAACGAGCTGAAAGAAGCTCATCACAATGAGGCAGTTCGTTCACATTACATAAGGACATTATTTGGTGTAGCTTTAGGCTCAGTAGCCAAAACATGCTGAATTCTGCTACTTTAAAAGATTAGTTTTTTTAAACTGACTGAGCCAGAGCAACAACAAAAGTTGGTACAAGTTATTTCTATTTTTTCTTGCATAGCTGATTTAGAATTCTCGTGTATTTTTCTGTTTTTGCACATTGTTGTATGTCAGGTCTCAACTCTGATGTTTGTATGACTGATAGAACTATAGTTTATTTAACTTCAACATCATACATCGTACCAAACCCCACCCAGTGGCATGATGAACGTGACACATCCTTTTCTAACAATGTGATATTTCTCTGCTCTTTTGTCTGTTCACTCACTCAGTAACCTTCGTGGTCGTTCTGTTAACCTGCGATGTCACACTGACCTGGTGAAACTTGACCTCTAACCTTTTTGTATGCTCCTCTCTTCCTGGTTCTGATGTGATGTAGCACTCTAGTTTGGCTCACACATACACACACTCTGACATACTTACTGTATACGTGGGTAAGCTTCTGAAGTATAGGTCTGCACATAAACACAAACTGTTTGGATGTGTAACTTTGAACTAACATTGTTTAGTTTCTTTTTTAGTGATTTAATTTGTCTGCTTGATCGATGTAAATACTATAGTGTGGGGTAAAATGAAGCATCAGTGTTTTCTGTCTCATCATGTACGTGTTGTGATGTGTTTTGTCGGTCTGTGTCTGTTATGTCTGTTGTCTATGACTGTTGTCTCTTTACTTGGTTGGCTGCTTCTCTTTCTGGGTTTTTTATTCATTTTTTTCTGTTTTCTTTTTCCCCTCTTCATGCTTCTGAACTGCCCTTTCCTTGTCCTCTCTTTGTACCTTCTTTTCACCCCTTTTTTTCTGTTATGCTTTTTTCCCTCTCCTCTCCTCTCCTCTCCTCTCCTCTCCTCTTTCCTTTCCTTTCCTTTCCTTTCCTTTCCTTTCCTTTCCTTTCCTTTCCTTTCCTTTCCTTTCCTTTCCTTTCCTTTCCTTTCCCCTCCTCTCACCAGAGGAGCATAGTGTTATGTATCTGATGGTCCCTAAACCACTAGACAGCTTTAACCTGCTCAGGGTGAAGGGGAAAGGTCTGAAGCAGATGGTCCTTCATGCTAGCTGTGAATGGTATGCATCATAGATAAATAGTTTAAATAGTTTAACAGTGTAATGTACATAAAACTTCTGAAAAACCAAACAGAGAATAGTAACAGCTGCTAGAGCTGAGACAACCAGCCGGCATTCAAAGTACAAGTACGTACAAACATACAGTGTCAGAGAACCTCACTGGGAAAGACATTCTTAAGGCAGAAAATGTGCTCAGCTTTTTCTCTTTATTCAGTCATATAGTGTTTCTGTTCTAGTATTTGAAGCTGAAGCGTCCAATAAGCCAAGTCTGAATGTGATTGAATGCCTTTAAACACATCTGTCTTTAATGATTAAAAAAAGGCCGTGTTATGAAAATAACTTGTCAAGATAAAACTACATCAAGCATGTTAAGTTCGTTAAGCTTATCTTAATTTAATTCACTTTTGGAGCTTAACTTGGCCTTATCATAGTCGATGACACTAACTTTGACATTTATGTTCTAAATACAAAATAATAAGTGTTACAAATCTAATGGCATGCAGTGTACTATGGTATTGTTTAATTTATTGTATCTTAATGTAACCATAGCGTTGGTTGGACTTGACTTTTGTTGTTGACTTAGTGGAGTTATCAAAATAACATATGAATATTTAATGCACTGTGTTTAAAGAGCTGAATATTAATGATACAATAAAAGCAAACGATTAATAACTCAAAGCATCGACAAGCAAAGTGAACTTAACCTTGTGTAGTTTGTTCAGCATTGTTTAGTTTATTGTAGTTTAGCTTAAACTTAGCTTAGCCGAACTTAAGTTAGTGACTAAGTGAAAAATAACAATATTTAACAGCAAAAAGTTAAGTTTAGGTACAAAACAATCATTTTCTCATTTAAGCTAGTTCTAGTGGTTTTTAGGGGGCTAGTATGAGGCCGATATAGAATAAAAATAGCGCTTCATGTTTCACGTTGCTTGTCTTTGTAGCTGTGTGTCTTTGTGTGTGTGTCCGTCGTCCTCTGTCCTGTCTGTGACACTGTAGGAATCTGTGCTGTGACTCAGTAGACCTTCATGGGGTGAGATGTAATGTTCTTGTTGGATCCTTCATCCTTTTCTGCATATTTACCTCTACCCTTCCCTCCCATCCGTCCACCTCCCTCTCCACATTCTCCCCCGATGCCTCCCCCTCCTCAGGCTCCTGCCTCGAGATTCTTCGGGGAGAAAGTCCGGCTCTTGGGGAGGCCGGGAGCGACTCGGCGTCCCCCATGTCTCCTCGGACTAGCAAGAGCCGCATGTCCATGAAGCTGCGACGCTCCTCCGGATCGGCCAATAAGACCTGAGCTTTCCACATTACATGGCTCGGACAGCATGGACGCTTCATATCATCAAAAATAAAACTTTGCTGTCCCTTATATCAGCCAGTTTGGACAAAATTAAATCAGGCATAAACAAATTCAAATGAACAGCTTTGGTAAAATTTACATATTAATATATCATTTGCAGCAGGAAAACGATGATAAGTGTTCACAGAAATTAACCATTAGGGATGTCAATAGACTTTGACTCGTCCCAGCTTCTTCAGCATGCTGCATTTCTGATTGGACACTGGCCTTTAATCCACAAAAACTCTATCACACACCCTTTGTTGTACTCTCAAAAATACATGTAATCGTATTTTGTGGAATATACTATACTCTGACTTTTTTTGAAAATTTTCACAGATGTTGTATATATCTGCAACTTTGCTTAAAAAAAAAAACAAAAAAAACATAGAAACCGGTAGAACCAGCGCTGCAGCATGCTGATATTTGCCACAGTAGGAAGTTCAGCCTTAGCAGTGCAGTATTAGTTCATAACAATCTGTGCCATGTTAGAAAGCGCACAAATGCCAGTGTAACCAGGACTGCAAAAAGCTTAAGTGTGCCACATTTTACTCTGCTCTGTAAACAGGTTATGGAGAGAACATTCAGCGAGATCAAACTGCAGAACAAAGAAAAGCAGAGTCTGTGCGTGTGTGTGTCGTTGGATGTTGCTGAGGGGAATCTGTATATTTGTACAATAGTCAGCCTGAGTGTGTACAGACAGAAACAGGAGTTTTGATATAAAAAGCAACAGGAGTGACGGCTGTAAAGTGCTGCATTGAGAAAGCAAGATAAAAGTCTATTTTTGTTGTCAGTGCATCACAGACCTATAAAGATGAAGGCAGGGTTGGTGTCTTTTCAGTCCTCCTTAAAATGTAAATACAAATCCACTCATTTGCTAACAATAACAAAAGTGCATCTTTGTGGACGTGGCAACGTTCTCAAGCCAAAACTGTTCTTTCTTAGTGTTTGAATCTAGAAGAAAATCCCCTGTCCTAACTCTGAAAGTGAGCTGACCCTCCCTCCCTCCCATGGAGCGATGTAAGGAACAGTGTTTTAAGGATGGATGACTTGTTTGTTTGTCACAAAGGAGAGAGAAAAACACTTTGTAGGACATTATTAACAAGACAAACGGATCAAAGAGGAAGCACTTGTTACACAAAGTTTGTTGTGGCTTTTCTTTTGTTCTCGCTCATGCTGTAAAATGTGGACAAGCACTGATGTTCATTGAATTCATTTTCTTTTCTTTTTTTTTTTGGTTTCTCATTTTTTAAAAATTGACTGTAAATTGTGTTTTGACCCGAACAAGAATGTTGCTGTATTTTTAGTCACTTTGTCATCTGAGGCGAAAAACAACAGCTTTTTGTTCTTTGTTCTTTGACTACGTATATATATATATATTCTGTATATCTATATATGTATGAGTATAAATATATATATATAGTAGACATATGAATATCTATAAGAATGTGTACAGTGTGAGGAAGCTTGTTGTGTATATACGGTTACGTGAGAATAGCTGCCAAAGCCAAGTGGTTGAACCTCAGACCACGTATTTGCTTAAAAAAAAAATAGGTCAACACTACAAGATTTCAAGCTTCAGCAGTTGGCACTTCATCTCTAGGAATTTAAAGGTGATCTTATTTTACTCATGTGTTTCAGTTTAGTTCTCATCCTTGGTGCCACAGCTAGATTCTGGAAAAATCAGAGGAAAACTTCTCCAAGATCTTGTGAATTTGTATGCTTGTTTTCATGTGTTGCTTTGTTTCCCCCTCCACACATGAATTCTTGTAAAGCCGGAGGAAAACCAGGCCTCGTGTAAAACCCATGAATACTGTATGCACTTAACAACACTGCAGCTACAAATTGAGGGCTCTTTTGGGTTTATAATGCGCCTAATCAATGCCAACAAGACAAGTTTTAGGCCTTCATTACTCTGTTTGAGACATGACTTAGTGAGCCCCTGTGTCTTTCTTTTGGAGGCAGTTTTAGGGTGACAAATCCAAGTGTGCAAAAGAGAGATCTACAGCCAAAGAGGGGTAACAGATTTATCATCTTTTTTTTTTATTATTATTATTTTAGCATTAAATCCGTATACATATATATATATTTAGACTCGTCCTCAGTTTCACTTGTGGGTGGAGGGGATCAGCTTGCAGTTACAATGTAGATAATTAAATAGCACCATAGATGGGTTTCCATGTGTTTCAACACTCCATCAGTTCAATATAAAACTGACTAATACATTTGTAGTATTAACAGTACTTGCCCCAAAAATTCACCTGGGAACTAGGAAGTTTTTCTCTCTAAAAGTCAAGGCTGTTGCTTTTCAGGGTTTATCACGACTCAGTGCTCTTTCTTTAATTGTACACGATGGCTTGTAACTTCATTTTTCCTTGGCCTGACTGATCCCAGATAGAGAAAGCATGTAAATGTAGGATCTGTATTTGACGATATAGATCTGTGTGTTAAAGGTTTTGCATAAAACTTCACTGCTTGAAGTCTATGTGTACACAGCTGTATTTTTTTGTTTTTTTATTTTTTGTTGCAGCCATAGATTCTCTGTAGAGAGGAAAGGGATTGTACAACTTTCTTTTTTTTTGACCCCTTATGTTGGGTTGAAATTGTTCATTTTTTAAAATGCCATTGTAAAATGAGGTCAAATTCATGTGCTGTTACTTTGTGTGTGAGTATTTGAAGTCAGCTGAGATTTGAGTTGTCCCTTTAAATTATTGCTGTTGCAGTTTTTTGTTTTTTGTTTTGTTTTGTTTTGTTTTGCTGAGGTCGAAGCACCATGGATTGGTTAAGACATGACCCTGATCTGTACATGCTGTAAATACACTACAGATCGCTGAATGAGTCCCAGTTTGCTTGGTTACATCCCGTAAACACTCTGACAGCCTGTTCAGTCTACATCCACACTCCGTCCCAGTACCCACGCCACACAGCAACGCCATGTTTACACTCCGTTACGCTCTTCGGATTAAAATCCCTGTGACTCTGTTTGATGACTGGAGTCCTGATGCTGCTTTAATCTTCCACAGTAAAGATAGTTTTATAGATTGTAAATAATCGTCACGATTGCATTTTGGCAATGAACTGTGTTTAGTTTGAAAACTCTCATTAGCAACAACCAAAATTTGACTTAAGTTACCTAAGGCCTTTGAGCATCGTTAAAAAAAAATCATATCAGCGACACTAAGACAGTCTGGCTGGAGGCTTTTGACTCAGATTGTATACATTTCAGCTTTTTTGTCCCAAATCTGACCTTTGTTTTGTTTTTGTTTTTTTTGCAAAGGAGGGAAAGTCAGACTCCCTCATGTTTGAGCTGCAGCAGCATCAGTTGCCCCTCATGAATAAATACATTCAACCTGTGTGCCTGTCAGTGGATCTCTGAACGTGAGGGCCGTGATGGATACGGGTTCAGCTGTTGTCCACATGTTAGTCTGGGACAAAGCTGATATATGTAACTACTGATTATACATACTGCATGACACCAGTCCAGTACTAACTGCATGTTTTGACCAGCTGTATCACCACACACACACACATACACACGCCACAAACTATGTTACTGTCAAATCTGTAGTATGTAAACATGTGTAATGTCTGTTGGAGACGCACACAGTGTGGATGTGCGATGATGGAATTTGACAATAAATAATTCGTACCAATGACTACTGGACTGATTCACTTATTGTGTGTGTATCAGCTTTGAAACAGCATGAATAACCTGACAGTGCATTACTGCTTATTGATTGTACTGTATTAACATTTATTGACAATAATTTAGTCAGTTTCACATTCAACCATATCAAAATATGACTGTACAGGCTTCATAGAATCACAAATACATTTTAGCATCATAAAGGCATTTAGCAAATATCTCAACGGTAATCTAGAATCAATAAAGACAAAATGACGTTTTTATTTAACAAGCAGTAACATTAAATGTTTCATTTCTGTATGAAAATATTTTATAGCTGAGAAGTTAACTGGCACATTGACTATAAAAGGCATATTATGGTCTGATTGTGTTCTATTTTTTTTTTCTTTTTAATTTTATTTTTCACTGTACATGAAATAGTTTTTGAAACAGAACAATGATTCCACTCCAGTTTTCAGGTTAAGCAAGGTCACTTTCTAAATGAGATTGCAGGTTATGATCTGGCTCTGCTTTAAACATTACACCAGCCAGTAATGCAACACACTAGACTCCTCCTGAGCTTTAGTGTAATCTGATTACTTTGCCACAGTAATGTAGAGAGATCTGTCAATCATGGTTTTGATATATGCAATGTTATTTCCTCTAATTGTTTAAGCAAAATGACCTTTGGTTGGGGGCATGTTTGGTCGTTTTATACAGACTCTAACTTGTGGAGTTATTGTATTTTAATGCCAAATCAGTAATGCTGGGGGTAGATGTGAGAAAAGCTGAAAAGAGAAAAGGCTCATTTTAACATGCCTCCAGTTTACATATTTTCTCGAGTACAATAACCCTGCAGTTAGTCTGTTGAATTAATAATGAGATCTGTCCAGGAATGAAAATTTCATTTATCCCCTCAAAAAACAGGTTAGTTCCACTAAGTGTGGAATTATTAGTTGTTTAAAATACAGTTAGAGAAGACTGTTTGCAGACACAGTTTCAGTACCACAGACAGAGGCTGTACCGGTCCGTAGTCAGTTTCAGCACCATGGACAGTTACATTTAATTGTTTAGTTTCATCAATACTTGGCAAAGTTTTGTTTACATTTGTTTTCCAGTTTTATGACCATCGACAGCATTTGCATTTTTTTGTCAGTATATTATCTGTGGATGTGTATGGACCTTTAAATTCAAGGCAGAGTGATAATGTGACACTTATTCTGAGGTTACAGCCGAACACAGCTGACATTAATGTGTACTTCAGAGTAGAATAACAGTCACGGGTGGTTTGTGCCGTCATGATGATCACGGATTATTTTTCACATAAACGCTTGTCTTTTCTTAACACATCTGCTCGTTTCATGGTCGCACGGTCATCTGCAGCAGCATCACCTGCCGGTTCTCGGTGGGATGAGACTTGTTGATGTGTCTCGTGAGCCCCGGGGAGCTGAAGAACGTGGAGGGACAGTGCTTGCACGTGAAGATCTGCTGCTGCTCGCGTTCCCCGCCAACGCTCTCTTCTCTGTGCGCGTGGAAACCGTCCGCCCCGCGTGCTCCTCCCGCCAGCAACTCGTCCCGCATCGCGTGCCACAGACGGTGTTTGTCCCTGATTTCAACAGATGGGAAGCGCGCGCCGCACAGGTGACACAGGAACACCTGGCTCTGTCCGCCGCTGGGCTCGCGCGTATGGCCGTAAGGTGACGGTGGCGGAGACGCCCGCGCTGTCATCTCGTGCGCGGCCAGGTGTTTCTTCAGGTAAGCCTGACGTCGGAATTTCTTCCCGCAGTAGCGGCACTCGTACACTTCATCCTCCGGTAACGACTGCACAAACGGTAAAGGCGGGTGCGGGAGAGACGGCGGCGGTAGGTCCGCGCGCTCGTCCGGGTTACCGTTGAGCATGAGCAGGCTGGACGGCGGACTGTCCGCCGCTCTCACCTGCTGCTGCAGGTCCAGGCAGCTGTCTACCGGGCTCCGGTAATGAGCGGAGGAGTCGTAATGAGGAGGCGCGAGACTGTCGGGACTGTCACGAGACCGGCTGTGGAGCAGCAGCAGGGAGGGCTCGCGCCTGATGGAGCTGTCCAGCGCTCCACGCTGCTGATTCACGCGCAGCAGCTCGTTCTCTTTGCCTTCCATCTCCACCGGCGACCTCTCGTGCTGAACGAGCCCTCGCGCCTCTTTTAACGGCTGGCTCTTGTTTGTGGGAGTCTCTCCGGTTTGGTTGTTGTTCACCGGACGGGGTTTGTGCCAGCGGCGGTGAGAGGCCAGATTGGCAGGACAGCTGAAGACTTTGTCGCACTCGGGACAGCGGTACTCCACGCGCACTATGCGGGAGCACTTGTGCTGCGCGAGAGAAAACGGGTCGGGGTACTCCTCCTTACACAGCTGACAGATGAACTCCCCCAGCGGCTGATTCCCGGTGGGAGCAGACGGTTTCTCCCGCTGCCTCCGCAGCTCCGGACTCTCCTTCTTGATCCGCAGACCCAGAACCGGAGAGGTGGTGACCTCATCCTCGAAGGTCAGCCTCCGGTTCACTTTGGGCTTCTTCGCCGGGTTCGACTGTTTGCTGTGTCTGCTGTTGTTCAAGCGCTGGTCGGGCTCGAGGAAGGAGCGCTTTCTTGCCGCGTGCTCCTGGTTCATCAGAGTCAGCGGCGGGAACAAGTGCACGTGAGCCATATTCGGGTCATATTTGTCGTAGGACGGCGCGTGGTGGCGGCTGCTGCTCGCCAGGAGCCTCTCGATAGAAGCGGACACTGAGGTCGGCGTGGAGCTCACCAGGAACGGCAGGTCCGGTAGCTCCGGTACCGGGGATGATGTTAGGCACCTGCTCGTGAACAGCGGCTGTTTTTCTCCTCCTTCGTGCTGCTCCAGGAGTCTCGTGCCGACCGGTTTAACGGGGCTGCAGGACTCAGTTAACGTCAGGTCGGGTGGAGGTGGAGGTGGGAAGAAGCAGGAAAAGTCACCGTCAGGACTCAGAACCACGCTCACCTGCTCCTCGGTCTCCGGTAACTGCGCGCGCCGGTCCGCCTCCGCCTCCAACGCGGACTCCACGTGCGGGCTCCACGCCTCCCTCACACCGACGGGGTCCTCGCGGGTCACCGGGAACTCTCCATCTGGCCGCTGAAGCGGGAGGACACTCAGCACATGGTTCTCCGGTGGTGCAGCTTCAGAGCCGTCAGGGATGCTCCGGTCACCGTCGTATGACTCAGGTTTGTTGTTGCTGGTACTTCGTGCCCGGTACGACGCCGAACCTCTCCGGTGTCTTTTCACCAGGAATCCTCGAGGCATTGTGACGGTGAGGACGGAGCTCGGCGCGTGGCCCCGGCAGGCGGAAAGAACAACAACTGTTGTCTCGAGCTCACTTTCAAGTAGAGCTTTGAAGAGAGAGAGAGGCGCGCGCAGGTGTGATGAGCGCACGCGAGAGAGAGAGCGAGAGAGAGAGAGAGAGAGAGAGAGAGAGAGAGAGAGAGAGAGACGGTGGGGTGTTTGTGGTCACCGTGACTCTCTCACAGATGACACATCACTGTTCAGGGCCCCTAAACCATCAGTCATTAGTAATTACTTAGTAATGACCGATGATTAGGAATTACTTACTAATGACTGGCATTAAATACAACTACATTTTTGGGATGAAGTGATAGGTTCCCATTTAATTCCAAAAATCTTCCACTTTTTCTTTCATTGAAACACTAACTTCAAGATGGAATGTTTAGTTATTTTTAAAGATTTAGTTTCTATTTATGAGGACATTTCAGTCTCAACTTTTAGCTCTCTTAGTTATAGATAAGTGTCATAGTGCCTTGTAAAGTACAACGGCCCATATGATGTGAGAAAACATGATGCCATGGCCCTTCCAGTGAGGATAAAGAGATACTGTGGCATAAAAGATGGCCAGGGTGGTAGAAATACATGTAGGCTGCACAAATAATCTAAATAAAAACACTGTTGTCGTTGTAGCTGACACTGTTTCATTCAGTTGGTTTTAGTTTGCTCTGCTGCATAACCTTTGGAATTGTTCTGTTGTTTCTGAGTCAGTGACCTTGATCCTCACAGTTTGTTGTGAGGTAAAGGCATATAAGCTTTGTTTGTTTGTTTGTTTTACAATTAAAACAGTTGTGTACATGCAATACTTCTATACATAGATAGGCTATTTCCTAAGTTGTTTTTATATGTAGGCCTGCCTAAAGCTGTATAACATGCTAAATAATATGCTGGATGGACAACTAGATACTAAACATTTATTGGAAGTATTTTTGATTATTTACTTTTATATTTATTGACCAATTTATATTACTTTTTTGTATTTATATAGTGTAGTAGTAGTGAAAAGAATGCTTCAAGGTTGTAACATTGTTTTCTCAGAATGCATTTACAACCATTAGGATTGAATTAACTTGCACTAGTGGAGACAGAGATTAGTGAATGGAAGAGACAGACAGCTGGAGACCATAGAAATGGATCTGCACAATGATTTTAAACAAGAGAGGAGAGGAAAGAGATGCATTACCAATTCGATGGAAACTCTTCAAACCTTAAACCTCAGCCAAGGCATGTCAAAAATGTTTTGTTTTGTTTTTTTGTTTTTTTTTAATAATTCTGTCGTAATATGTCATGACTAGAAACTGGAAAAGCTGGGAAGTAAATGCTTTCAAGAGATGTTTATAAAATGTTCAGCCTAATTAGGTATGCAGCTTTAGGTAAACATGTTTGGTTATTATACGTTCATGGGAGCCCACGGAAGCTGTCGGGTGAATCTGATATTGTTTTGATCTGCCTCTCAAACTCCAAGAATCTCATGTCAGATCTAGACCTCTAGAGCTTGTTGAACACTGACATTTCCCTTGAAATACGAGCTATGGCTGAACATTTTGTCACTCTTGACTGTAGTCATGCGACTTCTTTTTTATTATTTTACTTTATTTTGCCTTCTGTAAAATTAAATGAGCCAGAATCCATGTGTGTAGTGCAGCCAGCGAGTCTTTGAGAGGTGAACAAGAAGTAACTGATGTGTTTCATCAAAATGTCCCATTTTTTCTTTTAATGTCTCCCTGCTCATTTTAAGCCTTTATTTCAGAGAAAGTGGGGAAAGAAAAGTCAGCAACTGGAGTCAAACAGGGATAATGCCATGATAAGGACGAAACCCCTAAAACATGAAATTATTGGTGATATTATTGATTGTCATAATTACTATAACCTGACTGTTAGTGTCATATATTTAATCCCAATCGTTGTTTTCCTTTTTGTTTGCTGTGGTGTAAAAATCATACACGGCTGCTTCTGCTGTTCGTGTGAATCTTCACTGATTTGTAGAGGCTCGCTTTACCTGTCAGCGGTGAACATGTAAACACACATATTTTCGAGAGGGAAGGTGTGTGTGTGTGTGTGTGTGTGTGTGTGTGTGTGTGTGTGTGTGTTTTGGCGTCAGTGCAATTAGGAACAGCACCCATGGGGACTCAGATACAGATCATATCTTTTTTAAGACTACTAATGACCGTTTCTGTCCTGCTGAAGTGTCTGATTTTCAGTGTGTCGGTGATGGGAATACCTAGGGCATGGCTTTCCCTGTGTGTGTGTGTGTGTGTGTGTGTGTGTGTGTGCATGGTGTTATCTCCCCCGCAGAACAGAAGGGCAAAGCAGGGAAAGAGTGAAGGAGAAAGAGGGAGATTGTAATCTAGTGTGTTGTGTGTGAGTGTGTGTGAGTGTGTGTGTGTGTGTGTGTGTGTGTGCGTGTGTGTGTGTGTGTGTGTTTGAAGGACTATTCACACCGGTCCTCCCCCACCAGAAGCTGCTGTAGCTGATAAGAGATCGGAGGGAGATTCATCCATCCTTCCATCCATCCTCTCCCCCCCGGCTGGGGCCCCTCTGTGCGGGCCAGGCACTCTTTAGCTCGGCCAGTGGGCTTCAGCCAGCCGGCGTCTCTGCCTGGAAATCAATCAAGGCGGATGAGCGTGAGAACGAGCTCGAGGGTCGGGCTGCTGGCTTGACGAGGGCCCCCTGGGGAACACACATGAGAACAGAGATGAGATGGGTGGAGGAGAGTCCAACACTAAAATCTAATTAAGCCCAGAGCTTCCAGATTCTTTAGTCTGGTTATTTTTCACTGTGATTGTCAGCTGCTAGTGTGTCCCACAGCGAGGAAACATTGACTTAGGTTCAATCTCTGTTGACCCCATTGACTGAAACAGTAAACATGTGAGTGATTGAGAATTAACCTAACGAAGTAAAAAATCAGAGCTCTCAATCACCGCATCCACATTGCATAGCTTGGAAGCCCAAAAAATAGACACAAATGTAAAGAAAAAATACTTATGGTAAGTTAAATAATGACTAAAAATTCGTTTTTTTAATCTAATATTTTTATGTCATGTTGGGAATGTGCAGTTTCACTTTTACAATTTTCAATTTCTATGAGTATTTCTTTTTTGTCTTTAACATGCAGCCATACCACATTACTGTAGTAATAAAAGTGGCATGTTGATTTCCTCCCTTCTTGTGTGTGTCTAAAACATACTGAAACACATCAGTTTGCTTTTTACTTCAGTGTAGTTCCCTCTCTTTATCGCTGTAGTGATAAAAAGTAGGCCAGTGAGGCTTTTAAATGCAATAGATCAACTTTCCACAGTCTCAGTAGATAGGAAGTAAACAAGGTTTGTTGCATTTTATACTCCAATATTTTTTATGACTTTAAAGTGTAAATTGGTAATTTAAGTATAATTACATTTAGTGTGCATGAACAGAAATCAGTCTAAGGTCATAGTTTATCCTTCTTTTATTTTGACACTGCATTGCAGATTTAGTCTTTATTGAACACATCTTTTGTGCAGTACGAACTTCCAGTTTGACCCCCCGTATTGTATCTTTGATACCAAGATAATGATGTTTTGTTTTTTTTTTCTTGCAAGAAGCTTGATTTAAAAAAAAAAAAAAAAATGCTGATACACACATTAAATGATACTATTTGGAGGGGGGGAAAAATCAAATCATAAGACAAAAGAGTGGGCTGGGACACTGGAGCTCTGCCACAAGAATAAAATAAGGAAAATAAATGTCTGCAGGCTGATGTAAAGAAGGACGGGATGGAGCAGGCAGCTTTCAGTAGTTTAAAAACAGGGTAAATGCACTCAGTCAATCTCCTGTAAAAATATAGATCCACAGTCGGTTTGAAGAGGCTGCTGGCTGGAGGATATGAAGTGTGTGTGTGTGTGTGTGTGTGTGTGTGTGTGTGTGTGTGTGTGTGTGTGTGTGTGTGTGTCTTTAGTTTGCATCGCATCAGTGGGCAGTGAGGTGGATAATCCTCCAGACTGCTGAAAATGACTCTATTGATTTGTGCTTCTCAGTCACAAGCCTTTAAGTACTGCAGTATTATACAGCTGATCCGTCTGTCAGTCAGTCTGTGTTTACATGGAGTTTACATCTTAACTAGGACTGATGGGAGCTGTGTTTGTACATGATTGCATCTGTGTGTGTGCGTGCGTCTGTATGTGCAGCCAAATGTGTTTTTTTTTGTTGTTGTCTTTTTAACCTAATGACGAGTCTGGTAGATTCAGCACTTTATTTTATGGTTTAATGTAACATTAGAAATAGGTTTCACTTACTGTCAAATAAATGTTAAAAAATCACTGGTCTTCCCATGGTTACATAAAAAAATACCCTGGTATTCTTGTAACCTGCATGTAACTAAAAATAGCTCCACAACACATAAAAATGACTTTAAATTTCTTTCTCTCTCTCTCTCACACACACACACACACACACACACACACACACAGAGTCAATAGACTGTTAAAAGTCTGGGCTCCACTGGTTGCTGCAAGGATTATAGTAAGATAAAATAAAAACAGACATTATAACATTAAGCAGTGCTACGCTGGTTTAAACTCTAATCCTAAAATAAATCATCTCTTTTTGTTGATTTAAATTGACTTAGTCTTTCTTAGAATGGTAGAGAAACAAATTGAGATAATACACTTAGAGCAGAGCCTGGGAAATGAATAAGAAATCTTTTTGCCAGAAACTGATTTTAGTGAATTCTTTTCTTCAATGTGCAGCCTTTTCAAACAATCTCCCCTCTCAAATTCACACTCCTAAAATACCCAGCCGTCCGTTAGTTGACAGTCTCATGAAAAGGCCAGTTCAGAATGGTTCTTTAGGAGTGTGATGCACGGGGGCTAAAGTCTTATTTGTGAATCATATAGTCAGTATATAAAGCCTCTCACTGTTACGATATATCCCAGTAAACTCAACAGTGTATGAAAATCTACAAAAAAAATAGTACATGGAAGAACAGG